AAAATGTAGTATCTATATACAAGGGAATACTATTCGTCCTTTAAAAGAAGGAAATTCTGAAATTGGAATTAATGTAGATAATCTTTGAGGATGTTGTGCTAAGTCCAATAAACCAATCACAGAAAGACAAACACTGGATGATTCTGTTAATATGAGGATCTAAAATAGCCAAATTCACAGAATCAAAGAATAGAAAGATGACTGCCAGGGGCTAGGAAAAGGAGGAAATGGGCTTTACTAGTCAAATGGCATAAAATTTCACTTAAGCAAGATGAATAAACTTTAATTGTTACCACTGTTGACCGGTGACGAGTCCTTGCTTCCCCGATGTTGAAGAATAACACCAGAGAAGCACTCCGAGGCAAGGCCAGAGTAGAAATTAGAAGTTTATTAAAGGACAGCAGAAAAGACTTCTCCCAGAGGAAGAAGGGGACCCAAGAGATGGAATCCTTGGAAGTGCGGTTGTCTCTCCATTTTATAGTTTTCGGTGATGGAATGTAGGTGGGAAGGCCCAAGGGGTGGGACATAGGTGGGCCAAAGAAGTAATCTGGGCAGGAAGGACTTAACACTTCTTTGGGATGGGCTATCTTCAAATCTGCTGGGGCTGTTCATTAACATTTCTTTGGGATGGGCTATCTTCAAATCTACTGGGGGCTGTTTCCTGGACTTCATTAACATTTCAAGAGTTGCTCAACTTTTCCGGGAATTCATCCTCATGGCCTCCATCTTAGATTTCACTCGATATTAGACCCGATTTACCTAACTACAATGACTACCTAACTTTAAATCTGGCTTCATAATGATCTACTGCATAATATTGTACCTCTAGTCACTAATAATGTATTTCACACATAAAATCTTAAGAAGATAGAACTCATGTCAAGTGTTCTAACCACAATAAAACAAAGTTAATACATACACAAAAATATATTATCACYATTAGCCTCTATGAAAAGAAACCAAACTTCTAATTTTGAAAAGAGATGCTTACAAATGCAAATTGCCATTTAAATACACAGCGACTGTCATGTGTGGTCTCAATGAGGAAATGTTCTGAAAACTGTGGGTGTACCCACAACATCTTGGTCCCCAAAGTAACAGTGAATGACATGAGTCCATATGAAACTTTTAAGTGTAGCTTACAAATTCTGTTACTTAATAATAATGTTTTAAAAGAATCTTTCCTTTGAAATACTCATAATAACTTAAAGGGGAAAAAAAAGTCCTCAAAATCAGAATTCACAAGTGGTTTGTTACAATCTGCCCCTGAATCATCAGCAACACATGCTTTTGCCAAGTCAGTCACTTCAGTTGTGAATTTTGCAACATCATCATATGCAGTCTTCTGGAGATACTGAGAAAAGGTAAGCAGTACCCTGAAACAAAACACACACAAAAATAAAATAAAATAAAAACAGAAATATGTAGCACAATAAAAYTTTGATATAAAACAAGTTGTTATGCTAGAGAGCAAATCACATCTGTGTCTAAAGTCTATGTTTTCTATATCTTTCTTATAATTATACAGGAAGCCTATTCATATGAGGTATTATGTACGGTCTAAGCAGGCACAYATTCCTAGACAGGAAGGATAGTATTTCCACCATGTCCAAATATGTATGAGTGCATGTTAGTAGATGCACATACATAAGAAAAACAAACAACTGTGTACTAATTAGATCTAATTGTCAAGAGTAGGCTTTGCAGAAGTCCTTTGAGTTATTTAAAACAAAAATGCATACCTCATTAAACTAGGCTGTAGGAAGGTAATGATCTTTAAAAAATAGACTATCAATTTTTACTAGATTTCAAAAATATTAAAATGTTCCCAAGAAACCACAGAACAATTTGCTATGCAAAGGGGAGTTAGTAAGTGAGCTGCCAGCAGAACCATATGTTAGTTCCTTCCATCATTCTACCAGAGTTTCTGAGTAGTATGATAATTCCAGATTTTAACTATCCAATACAGTAGCCATTAGCCATATGTGACTCTATATATTTAAATTATTTTAACTTAATGAAAATTATATTTAACTTTAAATTAATTTGAATTTACACACTTAAATGCAATTTAACTAAACTTTAATACAATTTGACATTTTATTCCTCCACTGCATTTGGCATATTTAAAGTACTCAATAGCCACATATGACCAGTGGCAATCATATTAGACTGATACAGAATATTTTCATTAGTGCATAAAGTTCTATGGGGCAACAMTGCTCTGGAATTTAGACCCTGATGACAAGAGAATATAAGACCTTTAGAGTAATAATCAGTGCAAATCAGAAACATTAAATTTGACCCTTCTGTATTTTAACTTACAGGCCTTTGAAATGTTGCTCTCCCAGTCCTTTAAATCGAGTAATAATCTCACTTTTGTCTAGGGGAAAGGAGAGAAAAAAACACAAGATATGCTTAAGTATTGAAGAAAACAATTAATTAGATTCTACTATTTCTTTTCATTTAACTTAGGTTATTTATTTGCTTCAAAATATTGGACTCTGATTACTGCAGAAAGTCTTAGGATGGTGAACTAATTCTGCATTTAAAGAAGAATTATTCAATCATTAAGAATATTATTTTACATATCATTAAATATTCATAAATTTGTTTTCTAATGGGAATAAGATCTAATGGTCTTGTGCTGCCTATGAACAGCAACTGGGAAGACAATTTAAAAGTAAATACAAATGGAAACCTATTTATAATATTAATAACACAGGATTTTTTTTTACTTTAAATAAAGCAAGGTGCATTATGTAGGTCTTAGAGATAGATGTGAATCCTATCTTCTTCTCTGTTCTATGAAGTATAAGTCACTCTGCCTGGCATTCCTTCATGAGAGAAAAGAAATTACATTCACTAAGTGGTTCTCACAGTGTTGTTTCTACTTAAGATAATTGAACTATATTACTTAAAAAACCACATAAGGATTTACCAAAAAAAATCATCACATTGTAGAAATAAATGCTAAAGTAAAACTTAATTATTTAAATATGCGGGGCGAACTGAAATTTTATTAGGAAAAGAAAAGTTGTACAATAGAAAAAAATGAATTCTTACCTGCTTCTCAATGAAACACACCCCTGGAATAAGCAGAGCTGAAGAGAAAGAGAAGGGAAATAAAGGTTACCCACTTCATTGTGCCAAAGGCTTGTGGGATTGATAGAAAAAGTATGATGAATGCAGGGAAATTAGCCCTAATATACTTCTTTAACCAATAATTGTAGAATATTAACTAGATTCATCTTTGTATTTCATTGGCTCCCAGCTGATTACAAAACCATAAGATTCTTGCCAAAAAAAAATTGTTTGACTAGATCCCTTGCATATGTTAGCCATCTGGAACTGTTTTCTCCACAAGACATTGTCAATTCATTAAAATTATGYAACATATCTTAACAAATTTTTACATAACAGCTTAAATAATTTGTACCTATTATTCATTACCGTGCTCTTTATCTGCTATTTCCTATTTCAAAATTTGGGGTTTTGATGTTTGCAAAATTGCAGCCAACCCAGTGATTTTGCTTGGAAATGAGTTAAGATTCAAATTGCATCTACTATTAATTCCAAGTATGCTTTTTTATCTAAAGGCAATGAAACATTTACACAAAGAGACATTTCATAGGGCTACTATTTCTTTTGAAACTGTCTGAAAAAAAAAAGTCTGATTTTTGCCTCAAACCCAAGTTAGGAGAAAAAGCATAGCAACAATAATGACTAAAATAGATATTAACAAGTTCCATGTTTCCATCACAGATATGGCCTTAGTAATAAGTCAGTTATTTAACTTAACTAAATAACTGAGACAATCAAAATGCTCCATGACACATACAGGTACAGAAACTAGTAAATACTCAAGAGAAGTTTTATAATAAAAGGAATATATTTTCTACAACCTTATTTTAAATAATTATGCACAGAAGAGGCTAGAATAAATTAGAAAGACAGGAGTTCTTATTATTTTTATTCTTTTTGTTTATTATTTTGTTTTTGTTTTTGTTTTCAGTGACTCAGAGTCCTGAAAGGGAATATCAGCCTTGTCTTTCAGGCCACAAATGAACGAAAGTTAAAGAAGATTTGCTCATGGAATTATTTCCATTAGAGAAAACTACTTTACAAAAAAAGCCAGAAATATTGGAAAAGAAAAAAGGAAACAGTTCTAATTTTCTAAATAGAGAAGATAATTCTTCTTTTTTAAATTTGAATTTTTCTTTTAACCTCTTACAAAGACTGGTGATATTTATTTGAAGTCAGTGGCCAAAATTAGCCTTTTCCTGATGTGAGCCCAGATGTATAAGCAAGCATGCAATCTCATCACTGAATATATTCATATTACTAATTCACAAATTTGGGCCTTTGTCACTCACACATATACTTTACACGTTTTTTTCATTTAACAAACAAAAASAATAATATCTATCTACTTAGTATTGTAATAAGATATTATTCAATACATTGACAAATATCAAAAGCCTTTAAAAAAAGATTTATTATGATAGAGTAGGAACTTTAAATTGATTTTCCTGTATTTAATGAAGATCCAATAACTTGAAAATATAAAATGATAATACCTTTCCTTAACACTACCAATATGATGTTTAAATATGTATCTTATTAATAATTAATAAATAATTGAGAAATTAAAATACTTAATTCTTAACACTATATGCATACTTAACATTCATCTTAGTTAATAAGAAACATCTGAATATTTGCCTTTTGTAGATAATCAAAGTAAGAATTCCTGTTTTTTTCCTCTGAAAACCCTGGCAAGAATTCTACATGTACATTCTGTTCTGAGAGTAATAAAGCCACATCATTGTTGGTTATTTCTAAATACCTTATTCTTCACATTTTTAAACTCTATATTTAGTAAATCATCAAAGAACTTTGGCATGAAGGTAATGCAAATACTTAATGTAAGAGTTTAGAGAGTATAGTTTCTACCTTAATAGAAAAAATAGCTCCAATGATTTTTTAATGTTTTCTCATGTTTATAGGAGAGGTCTAAAAATAGAGAGTAGTTAAGAAAACTACTTTATTTGGAAAGTATAATTGTGTAATAATAACTTAGAAGAGAAAAAAAATGCCCCAATTGAAAAGCAAATATAACTAGAAATTAAACCTGAGCCTTTCTTCCTTTTGTCCTTTGTTTTTCATTCATTTTGACAAAATRGAAAAGGCACTGATTGGAAGAACATGATGTATCTCATTGGACTAGTCTCACTTCCTTACCACCTAAATCATAACCTTAAACTTATACCTTCCATCCACCCTGGGATTCCTCAAGCTTCTCACAGRGTCATTCAAACCAGGCTTGCTCCCAAGTAGTCATGAAATATGGCAACAATATCTAATAATATCCTTGATATTTTAAGGGACTTTCCAAAAACAACTTATAGTCATTCCAAAAAACAGGAAATTTGTATTTATTAAGAGAGGAGACAGGAGAAAGGAGGATCTTTTGCTAGCATTCATTCAAGATACAATGGACATATGCAAACCCCACCTATCATGAAKGGCCTGAGTATTTTCTAAAATTACAGAAGAGTAGAAAAGTAAAAGATCTAAGAATCTAACTAATGGAAATATAATAAAAATTTTAATTTCATATTCACTTATGGAGATATATGTCCTAATTAAAAATAAGCCAATTTCCCAAAATATATAAACTTATACAGGCTTTTCCATTGCAAATAAAAATTGTAATCCAAACATAATTTTTGCCCACGTCACTCCCATAAGCCATCAATGCCTCCAAAATATCCACTTGAATTAGTGAGAAATATAGAATTTGCTGAAGGTATCATTAGAGATGAGAAAGAGAAAAGTTTACATCATAAAAAACAAGATAGAGGGGCGAGCCCATGGCGTAGTCAATATTTACCTCTTCTTTAACTGATCCACAGAGAGAGGAAACATTATGAAAGATGTCTAAGTAGTAATTAGCTCAACTTATATATCCAGAAATGATTGTGTTAGACTTGCAATAGTCCCAATCAAGTTCATGGAAAATGAGTGGGGGGAAAAAGTGTTCATAATAATGGTGTTCAAGTCTAGGAAATTAATTATCATCTACAACCAATTTCTTACTGATCTCTTCCCAGAAAAAAATCATACCTGGGACTGCACAGAAAGTTGAAAGAACTATCCAAATTGCAGTTTCAACTGTTGAGATTGGAAGGTCCTCAGGTGGGACTCAAGATTTGCCTTACACTGGTGAACATACCCAGCTATGGTGATGCCATCGACAGCAGAAATTATTTTAAGATGATTATCTCCTACATTGATGAGAGTGTAAAGGGTACCTGCATGACAAGAGGAGCTTGAGTCAATAGCACATCACTCATAACCTAGACTATTGAGGCTTTTGTCTTATTTCACCATTTGGAAAGTTAAGCCCTTAGAAGTGACATTTATGAAGACASTGCACAATAAGCTGTGCCAGTCATTGCAACAGCCCCCACTCTCACTCTAAAGGAACTGGAGCGGTTGAAAAAACAACAGGTTGCTGGAGGAATTGAAGAACAAAGCACCAAGATCCATTAYTCACCTGGTGTAGAGTCCAATGAACATAAAKATTTTAAGGAGAAGACTAGACTTAAAGTCRGTTTCCTGCCCTCTGAGGTTGGATCCAATCAGTTGATAGAAACCAAGGGCAAGAAAATCAGAGGCCACTTCCACCCATGGGTACTGTGGAGGTGGAGAACTCAGAACACATCTTTCTGGAGCTGAGAACAATTTGCATCACCCACATCCTGGATCTCCAGTGAGTGAGCCAGGGCCTTCACCACAAAACCTCCATTCTGTGAGGCTCAAAAGAGGAGGCAGCAAAGTGGAGAACTACAGCCTGAATAAAAACCACATATTGCTGGAAAGGAAGCTGAGCTCTGCTACCACAAAAAGGTGATTGCAAGGATGCAGGCACTCTAGATGCAGGGCAGGGATGGCCAGGTGGGGACCTGGGATACCACACACTAAGGAAGAAGAAAACACCCTAAATGAGTGCTGCTAGAGCTCTGAGTTTTCATGAGATTGTTGGACAGGTGCCCATCCACATTTTCCTATGACTGAAATTTATTTTTTTTCTTTTTAGCATTAGATATGGTGGGTTGGTTTTTTGTTTTTGTTTTGTTTTGCTTGTTTTATTTTTTTCCTGCTATATATACTTTAAACATTTGTGTTTCACCATGGCTACAATTTATATTTTCTTCATTTTCAATTTCTTCTTCCTTAACTAATCACCAATGTTAAAACTGATTTCTAAGAATCAGTGAGAACATATAGTACATTTTGAATTCCTTTGATTTATCTGGCCTAACTAATAATTACGTTGACAGTCATTCATGATTAATATCTAGAACACTCAGACTTACAATGTTCCTGTGTGGTAGAAACATATATCTAGCAATATAAAAAGGTGTGCTGACTTGGCTAAAAACTCTTTACTTGTCAAATCACAYCATGTGGAGGTGATTACCTTCCTTGATCTTATGTTTGTATACAACAATTAAAACCAGTTTTGCTGTTATGACAATACCRTTTTTCATATACACATATGTRCATTTGTTAGCAAAATACCATTATCTAATGAGTTAAGTGTCTACATTTAAATAGTTTTTTAAAAACATACTTTTAGGGATAAATTTTAAGAAGTCTTTGTGTTCTCATACTAGGTAATTTTTAAAACCACTCTGAAGAAGCATACACTACAAGCCAATTTACTTGATGGTCTCCAGTAATGCTGTTATTACTATGCTATCGAGAAAACCAAAGCAGCTGTGAGCTTCAGTTTTCATACTGCAATTAAATCTGTACACTATTTTTACTCAACTAAATTAGAGAATAATTTTTTAAGGAAAATTGGCAGTTGACCTGTTCAGAAATCATCCTTTTTATATTTTATACTGCACTATAATGCATTTTCTGTATCTGAAAGTATACAAGATCCACCTCAGCAATGGAAATTGAGGTCCTTTCGTAGGCACGCCCTTGAACCTAACCTTGTCACTGGACAGAGTTCCTACTCCCAAAGCCTGCCCTTCCCCAGGTAGCCCAAATGCCTACCAGTTTGCCCTGTCTTGGATTTTCTATAACTATTCCCTTTTGGAATAATTTTTCTGTTAGAAGGAAAAT